TGTGGGAGAAAAAATTTAAGCAGGGCCCTTTACTTCATTAGTGGGGGAGGCAAATTTTATGGTTACGCTACTGATATTTATATATATATATATATATATATATATATATATATATATATATATATATATATATATATATATATATATATATATATATATATATATATATATATATATATATTTATATATAAATATATATATATAAATAAATATATATATATATATAAATAAATATATATATATATATATATATATATATTTATATATATATGTATATATATATTTATATACATATATATATATATATATATATATATATATATATATATATATATAATATATATATATATATATATAAATATATATATATATATATATATATATATATATATATATATAGTATATATTTATATTTATATACATATATGTATATGTATGTATATATATATATATATATATATATATATATATATATATATATATATATATATATATATATATATATATATATATATATATATATATACATCTTGCAAAATTTAGGTTGGTAATGCCAACGCAAAAGCCAACCTATTTTTGCTTCAAGCCGGCATGCAACTGCCGACGTAAATCTTTGTAACAAGTAGCAAAAGTAATTTTTTTGTCCACCTGACAAATATTTATTATTTTGATAAATAACAAAATGATAAATTTGAAATAGACAAAATAAAAAAATAAAACTCAGAAAAATTTAAGATTTTTTTTCAAAAAAAAGATGTTTATCAAAGTCTTTTAGATCTTTTTAGTCTAATTGACTCCATAAAATTGCTACATTTTTTTTGACGGAAGCCAAAAAATTTGAATAAAGAACTTGTTAAGTGGAAAGCTCAAGGGCACAAATATTTTCTATTGTATTATGGGCCATTTGAGTTTTACAAACTTGGTAATGCTGAAATTTGTTTTCTTTATTTAATGCTTTCAACATCTATTTATACATTATCCAATGATATTGTTTCATCAAGTGATATTGATGCTTGTCAGCAACTAATTTTTTATTTCAGAAGGCATTATGCTCCTATTTCGGTGAAGGTATTCGCACATTCACTGTCCATGCATTAGCGCATCTCTCTGACCAGGTAAAAAATTTTGGACCTCTTACAGCAACATCTGCGATGGTGTTTGAAAATGTAAATCGCTAACTAAAGTGGTCTATTACAGGAACTAAAGGAAACAAAGAAATTTTAAAATTGTGTTGTTATTCAAAATAATTATGAACATGATTAGGTTTTATTTCTATTTTTTTAAAGTTTGAAATTGTATTATGTTTTTTTGTATTATTATATATTTACGCAGTTGTTGTTTAGGATTCTGTTTGCAATCAATTAATTAATGAATCATCAGACTTAATTCATAATGGCGACAAGAGTTTGTTGTTTACAATGATCTATATCAGATTTCTTTTTGTACCATTTATAAGCCTACTAATATATCTATAAAATCTTTAAAACTCAAATAATTAAATAAAACCCTAATAAACATATGAATTTAACTAAAAAAACTATTAACCAAAACTAGAATGTAATACTTAACCGAGAAAAAAAACCCTACTAATACTGTTGAGTACCTACTAAGTTCCGAGTAAAAACCCTAGTAATACTACTAAGTTTCTTTCTAAGAACTTGCTAATCCTACTAAGTTTCTTACTAAAAACTTGCTAATCCTACTAAGTTTCCTACTAAAACTTGCTAAGTTCCTAGTAAGTACTCGGTGGGAACTTACTAAGTTTTAGTAGGAAACTTATTAGGAACTTAACAGGATTAGCGGGGTCTTTTTTCTCGGGAAGCACTGAAGTACATACATTCTTAACAATAAATCCATGTTCAGTGACATAATCGCTGAAATACAAAAGAAATGCATTAACATGACAGCATCTGCTAATTTAGCTAGCTTTGCAATTGCATGAAGTATATTTAATATGCCCACTAGCATTGATAATAGCTATAAAAACAAGTAGAGGTTTTTCAGATTTCATTGAATGATGAACATCTCCTCTAAAAAAATAAATTTCACCTGCAGAAGAAATATTATCTAGTAAATTTTCAACAAATCCACTCTTTAAAAGCAACCACTCTTTAAAAAGCAACTACACTTTAAAAGCAATGAGTAGTGGCATAGCAGTAAAAGTATCTTCACAATCAATCTCAACTATATCTCGTTGTAAGTCATCGACTGCTGAAGAGTAAGAAATATATGCATTGGAAACAAACTCAACAACAAAATAATAAACATGTCCATAATTGAAGGTTGAAGGTAAATTTCTTGAAGGAAACCGTTTTCATTCTTTAACAGGTAAAGATGAAGACGTATTTGTTAATTCCTTAAGGTTATTTAATAAAGACGCAGTTTTAATATTATACCATTTTCCTTTGCCCACTTTGAGATCGACAGATTATAAGGGCAAAAATTAAATTTATAGCTCTCTGGACTCTCAACACAAGTTTTTCTTTTCTCCCAGCTTTGTTTTAGTTTATGACACTCTAGCCACCTTTTAAGCTCATTTAAACTGCATTAAAATGGAATTAGCACCAGGAACATAATCGTCAGTATGAGAAATATATGCTAAAGTCCAACAGTTTACAGCAATTATTTGATTTGTTTGTCTGCACGTAGTCTGGCACTAGTTACGATAAGTTTTCTTGGCGTATGCAAAACCCTACGCTATTATACTAACAACCAAAGTGTAAAAAAAAAATCAATTTAGAATATCCTAATTTTCTTGCTTAGTTATATATCGAATCCAACGTAAAGTATTATGGGAAACATCTGAAGACTATGCTACTCCTTATATTACATTATCTAGAAAAGTATACAACTGTCACTATGATTTTGATCAGAACGCTTCTGCAAAAAGGAAACTTAATGAAACAAAAAAAATCAGGCAAAGATCATCCTATTTTTACAATTCGCATCGTTGTCAAATAAATTTATGCTCACTTTAGCTATTTTTCTTAAAGATACAAAAAACTTTAATTGTCATTAAACATTTTCATACAAGATACAAAAAAGTTTAATTGTCCTGCAAAAGCCATTATGAAAGAAGTATTTTAATAACTTTTAAACATAAGAAATGTTACCTTCAAAAATGAAAATAAAAAAAACGAAAAATGATAAAAACGTGTCCTGCTTTAAGTTTTTACATCAAGAGTGGTCTTAAGACATGAATAATTTTTAAAAGAAGCCGTATTAAACATAATAATATAAATATATGGTTGGAAAGAAGTTCAGCCACACTAATTGATGCTAAATTCAAAGTTGTAGCTTTCTCATAAAAAAATATATATAAAAAAGTACAAGTCATTAAAGTTTTTTTATTTTTTTTATTGACTAAATATTTTTTTATGACAAATAATTTTTTACCAAAATAATAGTTATTGAAAAATATTTAATAAGGTTGTCCACATGAGTTTTACATTGATTTTTTAAATGTTTTTAATAATAAATATGCCTATATTTTTACAAAAACCTTTTCATTTTATATATATATAAATATATTTTTGTTTTTAAATTTTTTCACTGTTTTTAGATTTTATATTTTTTCATAAGAAAAACTTTTTTTTTTTTCAAAATTCAATTCCTTTTTGTTGCTCTCCGGATTCGCCGATTATACTGTGTGTGTTCTATAGTCTGGTCGTTTACCAAAAGTCAGTCTGGTCATTTCAAAAAAAAAAACATTTTGTGAAAAAGCATTTTATGCGTTAATAACTTTTACAAATGTTGATTTAACATAATTTTATTTTTATGTTTCTTAAATATTTTTAATCTTATGAAGGTTTATTATAGACTTTTGAATACTTATTAAATTGTTGAAAACTGTGTAGCAAAGCTATATATTTTACGCTGTAATTTTAAGTTAATACTACTTGCATCAAAATTTTGTTTTATTTATAATTTTTAATGGTAGCAACCAATAATTAGTATTTGATGACAGAGAATATATAGATAGCACAGAATTGAGTATATATATATATATATATATATATATATATATATATATATATATATATATATATATATATATATATATATATATATATAAATATATATATATATATATATATATATATATATATATATATATATATATATATATATATATATATATATATAAACTAAAATCAAACAAACTTCAATAACCGAAAAATTTTGATATTCTAATAAGAATAATTATAATTTAATTTTCAACTTGTAATTAAGATTAACCACAAAAAAAATTTACAAACATTATTACAAGTATAACTTAATTTGAAGAACTTTTTTTATAGTTTTTAGTTAATGAAATAATATAATTTACCTTTTAAAGCAGACAATTGAATGAAATGAAGTTTTTTAAACCAATTAAATCATTAAAAAATTTTAATTACTAAAAATAAATGGTATGAGAGGTGGAACAAACCTTATAAACATATTAAGGTTTGTTCCATTAATGTATTATCAATAAATTAATGTAACATTCAATACTATTAATATTAAGATATATTTATAATATAAACATAAAATAATAATGTGTTAATTATTAAATAAAGTTGTTAAACACTAAATTTAAAATTTAATAAAATTTAATAAAAGCCAAAAAAATCATAGTTAATCAAAAAAATCACAATTTACTTAGTAATATGTAAGCTATTAAGGCTTAATAACTCACATAACTTGTGTAAGTTATTAACTTAAAGTTAATGTTATTAATATTTAATATTTAAAAAAAAGGCAATTATAGCACTATATTACTAATATATGTAATAATCATTCATAGCATTCATATTACTAATATTTGTCATCTCTAAATATGAATACTGTAAAAATTCAATGTTCAATGTCGCGTTACGTCATCGTTTATTGTTTTTTCAAGTAGATTCTAGGCTTTTTTTAGAGCGCGTTTTTTAAGTACATGCGGTCCACTCAAAAGGTCTACCGAGCCAGACCTGACGAACTTCTCTTAACTTTTTAGGAAAATCATTTTTATATAGTTTCAATTTACATGTTTACTTAAGTTGAATTTTGCAATTTTTTATTTTAGAACGTTGTTATAAAATGATGAAGAGTTGTAAAGTAAAAATCTTATTTTTACTTTATAGGTTATATTTAATTTTATTAATTTAATTATTATAGATTAGCAAAAAAGAAAAATGAACGGTAAAGTTTTTATTTTAATCTTTTTCAAAACATTTTATTTGTTTAACATCAAAGGAGTCTTATTGTAAGGAAAAATTTAAACTTTGTGAAAACTATTTGAACGATTTAAAAGATAAATAAGACTTATTAATAATCTTAATAATAATTTTAGTTACATTATCAATAATTTTAAGTACATTATCAAGTATATAGTATATTTTTTTTTTCTGTTTATTTAATGTGTAACTTTGATTTTTTGTTTTTTTTGGTTTCCTATAATTTTTTATTTTTTCATTTATATTTTGATTTATATTGTTATTGTAAATAATATTTATTTCTATTTAGTTAACCACGGAGATGAAACTGAAGGTAAGTGTTGATTTTTTAAATATTTAAGTATAATTTATTATTTTTTCATTTATATTTTGATTTATATATTATTATTGTAAATTCTATTTAGTTAACCACGGAGATGAAACTGAAGGTAAGTGTTGATTTTTTAAATATTTAAGAAGAATTTAAAATATTAGTAGTATATTGTAGAGTATTTTTGGAGTTGAATTTTCATTTAGTTGACAATGATGGGGAAGATGAAAGTAAGTTTTAAATTTTG